TCTCCATTAATTTCAATGGTAAAAATTTTCACTTCTCACTTTTCATCCTAGGGATAAAATTTCATGATTAATACCCTTTTATATACTATAATCTTGATATATGTAACAAAACATCTTACAACCTTTACTGGAAAAATTATACATATGTTTATTGAACTGTGTTCGGAAATTTACTCATGCATTTATGTATTATTTATTCTTGTTTAACATTCGATGAACAACAAGGATAAAATGATACATAAATGCATTCGAGTGAAGAAAACCTGGATGTCGCGCGTATCGTGTGTCGCGCATCGCGCTGATGTGCAAAAGCTATTATACTTCCTTTACACTCCAATTAACGCTTTATTGATTACATTCGCTTTACGTTTTATTTTCATCAGGTCCAATAATCCATTCTTATTTCAAGACTGTCAAAGACCCTAAAAAGAGAGACTCTCCAACTCATTACATGACTGTGAGTGATTTTGATTGGTTAGAGTATGGATCGCACAATTGTGTTTCATGAAGATTCGGAATTCTGGCCTTTCTCATGGAAATTTGGAATTATTGTATCATCTTAATATGGTAAGTAAAAGAGTGAGTGACTGAGTGATTGAGTGAGTGAGCAAGTGAGTGAGTGAGTGAGTGAGAGAGAGAGAGAGAGAGAGAGAGAGAGAGAAAGAGAATCTTGCATTCCTTTTAATTTGAGACATTTCTTTTCCAAAAATGTACTAATGTGTGTGCGCGTATTATTGTGTGGAACCATAAAGTTGATCGTAGCAATCATCTCGCATAAGCGCCTACGTCAGACGGTGAATTGCATCGTCCCTGCCTCTTGTATTTGACATGATTCGCTAACTATTTCTCTTAATAATTCAAAAACTAAGCATTGGACAAAATTTTCAAGAAGGAAAAATCGTCTCAGAATTAATTCGAGTATATGACATTTTAAAGACAGAAGTTTGTTTTGAATCACCCTGTAAGGACACATTTTATTAATATTATTCATATTTATAATTCTAACTTTTGCATAGCGTATGCATAATGAAAATTATCCAATCGCATTTTTCTTATAAAGATACGTAAAATGTAATTAAATAATTTTCTTTATGCATGTGTTTATGCGGCTATGCAAATTGTGTGAATATATCCTAAGGTCTGTTCTACAATAGAGTCGTAAGAAATTAACCAATCATAGTTGATTATTCTTCTCACACTTAATTGTGATTGACAATTTTTTACGACTTACGACTTACGATCCTATTGTAAAACAGGCTAATATCTGTAATGATTTATTGTAGAAGATCCATAATTGGCCCACAATAAATCATTAGTCATAAATCAGAAGTCGAGCTAAAAAATTGACCAATCACAGTCGTCAATTTTTAGCTTCTTAGATTGAATAATCTAAAAGAATACTAATAACAGCGAGCGCTCACTCAACTGTTGTGTCTACTGAAATGCAGTTATTGTAGACTACACGGGGTTGATTTTTTTATGTTACAGTTACGTTAATCGCATTTTCTCTTGGTTGCACTATCACCCACTAGTGCAACACTCAGACAGTGTACCGTGTTTTCATGGCTGCGGTGTAGTGTAAATTTTATGCATGAAATGTGAGTTTGTTACACCGTCTCAAAGAGACAGTATAAAAGCTGCCACACACAAAATTCTATAACAGTAAGACGTAAATTTAAGCCGATGAGCTAATTAGGATACTGCTTTAGATTACGTAGTCTAACGGACATGGAAATAACAGTAAACCTCGTAATAAGGTGAATTTCTACTGATTGAAATTTCTACATAACGTTACGTGCGAATAATTTGTATATAGATATTGAGCACGAACTAGAAGTTGAGGGTATATTTATAGTGTAGTTCGAATCTATGCCTATTCGTTTTTTATTAATAATAACGAATTTATTAATAATAACAAATTTTTATGCATTTTAAATTCATAGAACATATGTTTCTTATTATTAGGTCATCCTCAGTGTATATATGTAGAGAAATTTAACAAAATTAATAAAACGGTTAGATACAATTTCTACAGATTATAGTTACGCAAAGTGTAGGTAGTATTCCTTCATATTTATCTTCTATCGTAATAATACAATGTTTTCAGTCTTGTAATATTCTCAATTATATCACAAATGGTTTTTCGGCGTTTGAGGTTATCAAAATAGATCCACTTTTTATCGCCAGTCACAATTCGGTGCAAAAATCTCTTTCTTTGTTGCTTAGCAAGCAGAATTTCACAGATGGTTTTTCGCCTTTCAATGTCTCTTGGCTCATATGGGACCCATTTTCCTTTCTTGCAGACCTTTCCCAAGACTTTCAAACAATAATTTCGAAAATAACAGATTGAACACAATTTAATGCTTCTGCAAGTTGTTTTTGCGTTTGACATGGGTCTTCATCACCAATGCTTGCAATTCTTTGTCTTCAAATGCTCTTGGCCGTCTAGAACGCTCTTTGTCTTCCACATCAAAATCATCACTTTTTAAACGTCGAAACCTTCTTTGCATGTTTTATCGGAAAGAGCACTATCACCATAAACTTCTACAAGCATCCGATGAGCTTCAGCTGCAATTTTCTTCTATTTGAAGCAAAAGATTAACACTTCGCGCAAATGACGCTTATTTGGCTCAAATGTCGACATTTTCGATGCAGTAAAAAGTAATGTTATTGATGCAAACGTATATTTTTATATACTAAATTTTATTGACAGATGATAAAACTGAAAAATTAAGCTTGGTTTAGACATTAGAGTTATCAACAGTTTTAGTTAGAGCTACTCGCCGCTAAATGGACGGAACTTTCCGATTGACCTAATATTATTAGGAGTATAAATAAATTTCCGCCGTTTTTTAATAAAAAATTGGGCATTTATTGTGAAAGAACGGTACCTAATATTTTATTCGAAGTATTGTCCATCGCTAGCCACTACTTTTTCCCATCTTTCTGGCAGCATACGGATACCGCGTCGGAAAAACGCTTCATCTTTTGAAGCTATCCACGAATCGACCCAATTTTTCTATCTTCATATCTTCATATGATGTGAAGTGTTGCTCAAACAGGCCAAGCGCCATCGATCGAAACAGATAGTAATCAGAAGGAGCAATGTCTGGTGAATGTGGGGTAAAACTTCCCAATTGAGTGTTTCCAAGTAGGTTTTGACCGGCGCCGCAACATGTGGACGAGCATTATCATGCAGAAGAATAAGTGTGTTGTGTCTGGAGTAGTAGTGGGCGCGTTTTTCCTTGAGTGCTCGGCTCAATCTCATCAATTGTGTTCTGTAGAGAATAATGGTTTCGTTCGGTTTGAGCAACTCATAATAAACAACACCTAGCTGATCCCACCAATGGCCAGGTGGTCCCTATGATTTCTTCTTCTTTGAGTTATCGTAGTGGATCCATTTTTCATCAC